GTAGTTGAGTTGGAAGTTGTGTTTGCGAAGTGGCATTTATGGGTCAATTAAATGGTGTATTCTCGAGGAATTAGTGTAAAGACTCGGGGGTAATTAGAGACGGTCTATGGTTTAAATTAACAATGGTTTCAACGGGAGGGAGAGAAAGGTTATTCACTGATCCGAGTTACGATTCTAGGTCGTAATTGAAGCTGGCACGAAGTTTAATAATTATCAGGCAAAGGGTTATAATTAGCAAGGATTAAACATTAGTTTTATATTTTTGAATTAATCACGGTCTTCTTTGTCGAAGCTGATCCCTCTTTTCTCGTACGTTCGAGTTAATTGCTCGTCGTAAACGTGGAGAAAAAAAAAAAAAAGAAAAGAAAAAAGAAGAAGGCAACGTATAATTTTTTACAGTCACTTAGACTTTCGAGATTTCTAAATTTATGTCGAGCAAACATATTAATGATGATCATTTCGAAACAAAGGTATGCACCGATATAATTGTATCGATAAGAACGTCACGGTATCCAGGTACGTATACACGGTATACAAGTTGGCGTGAATTTATTGCGACACAAGAATATATTAGTAATTATCAGAAATCAGCCGTATACCACTTTGACACACACATGCACGCACGTACACGTAAATATACGCTATTGCTTAATTCGTTTCCTTTTACTTCCCTTTGCGAGCACAATTCCCAGAAATCACGTAATTTCACGAATTCCCGCGATCACGCGCAGTTTGCCCTAATTTTTTTCACAACAGTATTATTCGGTATTCGATCATCGAGACGCGATTTCTTTTTCTTAGAGAGAAGATCCGATTTCGAAAAGTGAAAAAAAAAAAAAAAAAAAAAAAAAAGAATCGAGAGTTCGACACGTGTGATGGCAAAATTATCGATTATTTATTCGAATTTGCAACGCGATTAGGTTTCAACCCCCTTGTTTATGTTAATATAACCCGTGTCGGTCACGTAACATAAAATTAACTATGGTACGTGTAAACTTGGCCGTTTTCTTTTTTTTTTTTTTTATAGCGTACGACTTTTATTACTGTTGTAATTAAAACGTGTAGGCCAATTTTTTCTACTTAAAAAAAAAAAAAAGAAAAAACACGAGAAAAGCTCCCTTTTTAAGGAATTCGATCTTTGCTCCAGATTCATTCAAGGAAGGAAATTAGTTGTGTAATCGAGATATGTTATCTCATCGGTTCTTGCTCTAAAAACACGCAAAAGACGATATTGAAAAAAACGATATATCGAGACTGATTCGTTTGGTGATATCACGGTGATTATCCCTAATTTCTTCTCTATTCAATTTCGATCCTGCGTGTAATTCCTTGAAATTAATTTCGCTCGCATTATCGTAACCTAACTAATTACGTATAATAATTTAATTACATATAATTAACAAGAAGAAAGTGCGCCTATTGTCTTTTGCGAATTTTTTAGAAACTCCAGATGCCTAGAATTATAATTGTAACTTATTATACCTGTAATTTGATTAAGTATTTTTTTTTTAAAAAAGTTATAATTATAAATTAGGATATTAAAGCTTTTTAGCTCTGTCATCTAGAGATGGAATAGCTGTAATAATAATCACATTTTTTAAAAATAAATTTTCGAAATTGAATCGAGCTATTCGATCCAGATTGGTTCATTAAACAATTTGAATTTATCCAATCATGAGTAATTGGAATGTTTATTATGATCGTTCAAGTAGTCGAGGATGATTAACTGGGGCAAAGCGATCGTGGATCGCTCGTTTTGTTTAGCGCCACCGACAATTCTCTAATTGCGAGCAAGTGAAAGTAATAACAAGGTAATCGCGTTGCTGAAAGTTCCTCCTCTCGGAGGGTTAATGACGCCTGCACACTGTAAACTTTTAACTGCACGATTTTGGCGGCGCTCTGTGTCGTAATCGCCCCCCGAGAATCGCCGCGCTGCCAACTTTTAATAGTTTTGTTGAACGCGTTGCACGATTGACATCCATTTTGCACGCGTTCCATTCTGCAAATAAAAATAGCTAAAATTTCGATGGATAGCTTTTTGTCAATAGGTGTATTCAATAGTGATGTGCGTGAAGAATAAATATATTTTTTTAATAGTAAATAGATAACAGATAATAAAAAAATGGGGGGGTGGGGGAGGATATCATATTTCTCGTATAACAGAATTAGAGATTCAGATAGCTTCCGAAATCTTTTTAAATATAATACGTTGCAAATACGTATTTTCTCTCCATCGTATCTTTTTTAGTCTCGAATCTCTTCATCTAAACCACCCGTAATTTTACGATAACGTAAAGTGTACAAAATGAATGAAGCTCAAATTAACTTCCCCCGGCAGAACTTTTATATCGGTAGACCAATTTCAAAGATAATTTACATTTTCTCCACTCGAAAGGTAGTTCTCCAGTCGAAAAGGTTTTGGTTCAACTCGTTCATTCCACGTAACTTTTTCTTTCGTTATGTACGAAAATTTCTCCTCTTTTATTTATCCAATAATTTAACAGCTTTGTTTTATTTAACAGCTTATAGGGCCACGTGACTGTACGCAATACATCAATACCACTTGCAAGACACCATTATGCTACGTTTCGCATAATTCTCCGCACCGCATAATGATACGTTTCTTTATATCACTTATCCCACAAAATGTTATTATCAGCTAGAGTTTTACGACAGCATAAAATTTTCTCCAAGTATCGATTATTAATCGCAAAATAAGGAAATTTCGTCATTAAATTATAAAAAGAGCGCGTTCAAGTGTTCAAAGATTGTTGTAATCTAATTGTCGAGTCGATTATCGAAATATTTTTCTTTTTTTTTTTGGAAGTTATAATAATATTCCGGGAAAAAAATACGTGGCCTTATAATCTTAAATGGACATGCTAAAGGAGAAAGTTGGCGTCCAATTCTTCAGGGTCTCGCGAGCGAACGCCGCTCGCACGCGCATTTGGCAAGACTAGTCTCACGAATCAAAATGACCGCAATTAAAGAAGTGTTCGTGCCATTGAAATATCGTTATGGATCTATATTTTCTGTTTCCAGTCAGCTGTTCAGAAATCACGTAACATAGATATTATTATACTTCATGATATTATTATACGTCATGTGTTTTTTAATTAAACGCCTCTTCCCTAAAGGAAATTAAAACATATTTTAATTACAATTAATTACTCCCAGATAAAAATTTTTCTCTTATCTCTGCTAAAAACTTAATCCTGAAACTACATTTTCGCAAAATCAAAAATCATAAAAAGAAATAACTTTCCAAAAAAAAAAATCATCAAAATGCATCGAGCTGTTCATAATAACGTAATAACAAAAAAAAAATAAATAAATATATAAAACAACAAGGCAAACCAAACCGGAAAAAGAAAGGAAGAAAGAAAGAAAAAAATACTCGAGTCACGAGAACGTCGAGCGAATAAGAGAAAGAAAAAAATCCTGGAAAGAAGGGGAGGGGGAGGGGGTGGAAATCGACTCGTAGGCGCCTTGAAAAAAACGCCGATGTTAAGGTAAAGAACTTCACCGTGTCCCGGTACTATCGATTTCGCGGTCAACCGAAGGAAGTCTCTGGTCCCTGGTGTACGTGTAAGTAAGTAAGTAAGTAAGTAAGTAAGTAAGTAAGTAAGTAATGCAGTGTCGGCCTAAGGAGAAAATCTTTGCGTGACCGACCCGCTGGCCGGCACGGTTCAGTCCACCCTCTTCGCTTCGCCGCCCTTCGACCTGCCGAGGCACGGCCAACCCCCGAGGACTGCGGCACCTGCAATCTTCGTGCGACACAGAGCAGCGATGCTCTGTTCGCCAGCCGGACAACACAGCCCTCTCCACCATCTCTCTACGCGCTTCTATCCCATTCGAAATCGATCCATGGGATTCATCCTCGGTTATCTTTGCCTCCGCTCGCCGTGAACCGCGCGGTATTTCCGCTCGGCCATCGATCACGAGAACCCCACCGTTGTTCATCTTGCATAATACAACTACGGAATTAGGTAAGACTCTCTCTTTTCGCCGTACGTTCAACCGTTTTGTGGGATGGAAGATGATAATCGAACGAGTGGAATGGAAAGGGTAGTGGAGAAAGGATCACGTATGGCAAACACGTGGGAATTTTGTGCACGTTGCTCGTTCGCCGATCGATACGAATCTTACGCGTGATATCTTGGATTTGTGGAACCGGTTGTGAAGAACCAAGAAGTTGAGAATAGTGGAAATCGATTTGGTTTTAATTGATATGCGATTGTTGGATCGAGGAAGGATATAGATAATATAGAGACAGACGATTAATTATTGATTTCTGTCTGTTTGGAGGAACGAGGTTTGATGAAACGATAGGCTTTAATAGGCGCTCGATACTCTCTGGATACTTCAATTAATAGTGCGATTTTATATTGTTTTTATTATTCTTCAAGATTTAAAGATCGATAAAGGAAAAAAGATATTCACGATTGAAGTGAATTCTTAAACAAGATATATATTTATTATTTTATGTTTCGCCCAGTGAAGCCTACGTGTCCGACTAGCGCGATGCATATTCACTGGGAAACATTCAACGTCACGATCACGATACAATTAAACATAACAATTTTCTACATCGTTAAAAAAAAATAGAAATAATTTTCTTCTTGCTGATACAATGTGATACACAATAGTAATTACGAGAAACATTAGCTAGCCAAATATTGATCAATTACTCGAGGTCCAATTTAAGAAAATTCTAATTCTAAGATTAAACAAACCCCGATCCCCCTGATTTACCGATCCTCTCGAGAATCGAGTTCACCTCGACCTAAATTTAATACACTTGAAAAATTCAATGGCTGCCAATTCGAAGGCAAGTATCCTTTCGTTCCTTTCCTCCCTGTCGTTTCAGCGTCATCGACGCCCTTCGTTCCTTTTCTTAATCGACGCCGAGAGCTCCTTTATCGCGGCGAATCGATCGTGCAAGCATTTTTAATAATGCTAACAGCCAGTAACAGGGTGCGGTCGTCCTTCGATTACAGGGTGCTGGGCGCCGCGAACGGCATCGGTGAAGGTATACCCGAGAGGCTTCTTACGCGTTGGAGAAGATCCTTGAGTCGTTGCTGCGAGTGTTGCCCGAGCATGAGGTGTCTGGCGTGTCGTACGGACTCGAAGGGCCTCACCTGGCCCGGAAACCATGCCAGGATCATGAGGATCGTGAACAGGAACGAGCAACTCTCCGCCAGAGAGAACGTTCCTGCTGGCTGTTGGTCTAAATTCAAGAACAGATGCAGGTACTGTAGAAAATGGATGAAAATTATTTGGAATTTGAACCATTATTGAAATTTTTAATCTTTCAAAGAGAGAAAATGAAAAAAAGATACAGGATTAGAGGATTTGTTTCGAATCGAGACGAATAGTGATTTGTATAATGTGATTTCTAGAATTTTTTATTATCTTCAATCAATAAGTATATATATAAATCGAGTAATTTATTTCGTTGGAAAGTATGATGAGTAGTTTTTAAATGTAGCATGCAGCAGATTATTACGATTACGAGGTTAAATTAATATTGTATCTCTAAAAAATTCGTCCAATTGTGTGACGCGCTTAATGACTCGCGTCACGATTAGATATTTCATTATTAAATTATTAATATTCGTACTTTCTAACAATCTTATCAAGAAGATTGATCTTGTCTAAATTTATTCGGATTTACTCAAAACGTTACCACGAATCCGTAGTAAAATTTCTACGCACATAGAAAGTAGAAAGTACTTCGTAATTGAAAGTTAAATTAAAAATATAATATCTCCAAAAATTATCATAACTCATAAATCATTCTTCTTTTATCATCAGATGCAAACGACTGAGGGAGATGAAATGTTGCTCAAGAAGATCGAGAGTCGCGCCTGCCGAGGCAACTGTCTGCTGCCCGCCGGAGAGAAGATTCGGCGCCATTTGCCGGCGTCTGTTCGACAATTGCAAATGCAAGCGGAACGCAGAGGCAGAGCGCGCAAGAAGCATACGTGCCAAGCACAGTCTTACCAGTGTAGCGCCACCTCCTCTATCAGAGGTAAAATCTAAATTACGATCAAAGAGAAAAAAAGAGAACAAACGAAAAGTTTATTATATCAATTAAGATCCAATGATAGATGGTGATCGATATCGATCTTAGAGGCGACTGCAATTTCTGCAGTTCTATTTCCAACGTGGAATTACACGTTATTAGAAATGTGAAATCACTGGTGTAATCTCAACAACCGTTATTGCGTTGGATCTTTATATTTTAGAGATATAAAAATTACACTGGCTCTGCTAATAATATATTATTTTTTTAAATGACAGGAACCGAAAGCTAAGATACCGGATGTCCTGGTAGAGCACAACTCCTTAATGCGTGGCGCTATTCCTTGTCTACCAGTTCCTCTTGCTTGGTTTTGTCTCGTTTGGAACGTATTACTGCCTGGCTCTGGTAAATGATATTCTCCTCGTTGATGATAAAAAAAAAGAAGAAGAAGAAGAAGAAGAAAAATTGTTAAATCGTTATCGAAAAATTTAGACGGAAAAAAAATGGATGAAATTTCTTTTTCCAGGTACGGTATGGAGCGGTTTATTTAACCTGTGCACCGGCCAACCAAGATTCTCAGCGGTGGCTGGACTGAAATCGAGACTGGGCGCGTTCGTGGTGAACCTGGTGGTCGGGGTGGGTCAATTATTCACCGTTTTATTCTGCCTGGTTGGGTGGGGCTGGAGCATCTGGTGGGGCGTCACTTTGGTCCGTTTAGCGAGTAAGTAATATTAACCATCGATCCAAAATCAACTGTTCAACCGGTATGATATGCCGGAGGTTTTCGTGCTCTTTTAACGAGCCATAATTCAAGCTGGAGGGAAGGGAGAAAAAAATGTGTTATCCGCGTTAAAAATGGATTTAACCTCATTCCTTCCCAGAAAGAACAATCACTTACCGAGATAAGAGAAAACTGAAGTTCTGCAATTTAAAAAACATTGACTCAATCGTCGAGGAGTGTTATTTTCTTTCTTTACGATTCCAATTTTTTTTTTTTTTTTTCGATAATGAAAAGTACATATATTCGAAGAATATATCGTTAATTGAAGGTAAATTTTTCTTCCCTTAATGGAAAATAGCATCGAATGATAATAATCAAAGAACTGACAAGAATGTTTTTTTATTTAGGGAAGTACAAGAGGTTCAAGGCCTCTGAGGCGGCCAGCAACGATCCGGAAACGGGGGCGAGGGATGAAGAACCGGCGGCCCTACCCCCAGGTGTACCGAGTCAAGCCTTGAGAGGGATGGAACGGGTTCGATAATAATCAAAATAACGAACACGATTCCTCGATTCTTGCCAGAAATGATTTTTATATCGTTCGTCTTAGCGATTTTTCACTACGTGCCTTCTCGAAAGCTGCGAACAGAAAATGGAAACTCTTCGCTTGTTGGATTCGTATGCTAAAAAAGATCCGTTGAAAAAGAAAAAAAAAACAAAGTAGTTTTTTTCTCCTCGATCCGTACGATATTTTCTATGAAATTATAAAGGACCTCGTTCTGTTTTTTCACAATTTATAAATAAAATTCGAGGAACTTTTATTGTCGAAAAATAACTTCGTTCTCGAAAGGAGAATATTGGAAAAGAAGAAGAAGAAAAAGAAGAAAAGAAGAGGAAAAAAAAAATAGAAAAGAAATATAAAACGATGTTATTATGATTCGCGATCGAGGAACGAAACGAAGTTTTCGGAAATTAATCGCTTTCAATGAAAGCATACCTATGTGTGGCGTTCTTTCAAAATGTACTCGTTGCGTCGAACGAAAATTATTTTCTTTTTTTTTTTTTTTTATTCTCGTTCATCCTTTATTTCGTACTCACAAATATGATATGGCTTTTTAGTTTTTTTATATTTTTTATTTATTTATTGCTCTTTTTTTTTTTTATTTTAGTTCGAAATGAGAACGGCGGAAAATCAAAGAAGAAAGACAAAACGTGTGACCTTTTTTCTTTTTCCTTTTTTTCTTTCTCTCTCTCTCTCACTCTTTCTCTCTCTCTCTCTTTCTCTCTCCCTCTCTCACTCCCTCGTTCGAAGGTATTTTTTTTTTTCTTTTCTTTTCAACGTCGATGGAATAAATACGTTTTGAAAAAACGCACTTTATATTTTTACAAGCGCAAAAAACATATTATATGTATACATACATTCATATATTCAACTATCCGACTTATTCAACTTACAACTAAAAATCCTTGTAAATATGAAAATATATTACTTACATCGGTTTTTAATCTAATCGCTGCTTCTGGAATTGTTCCCTCCTTTATATCTCCTAATCGCAGTGTGGGGAGGATTCTATGGTATTTTTTATCATTTTTATTATTTCTTTTATCTAAAGATCAATAGCTTATGATATCAGTCATTGTCGCAATGAATTTTCGATGTTTTTAGTGGTATACAAGCTTCCGATATATTCCATCGTCTGAAACTTTATTTAATTATGAAACAAGGTTAGTGAAAAATTAATGAAAAGGGAATGTAATGGACCCTAAATTTTTGTAAAACGGTAACTTCTCTGTGTTTTGTCTGGAAAGATCGCGTAATGTGTCACGTGTTACGATCAAGTCCTGTGTTGTACAATTTTCTTGCGATCAGAAATTTTCGTGCGATCGATATATCAAACAGGGATGAAATTTATCTCGGTAATTTCAATTCCATGGTGTCTCTATATTTAAAATTTCCAAATATCAAAACGCCTTATCTTTTTTTTCTTTTTTTTTCAGGGATTCTTCCGTTTATATTTAAATTCAATAAGATATATTATCATATCCGCGCGCGTAAGGACGATTTTCTCGTCGCAACACCACGGAATCGGCCTTTTCCCTCAAATATCAAATAAATTTCCGATAGATAGACCGTGCCCTCAGTCACTGCATGCGACGATAAAAATGAAACACATCGAAGGAAGTATATTTTGGTCGATTTCGATATTTTGGTTTTCGTGCACCAAAAGGAAACAAGACACAAGACACGGTCGAAAAAACGGTTAAAAACGTGCGCATGCTTGCGGCCAGAAGAAGATCTAGCGAATAACTACAAATAAAAGCTCTCGCGAATCGATTGCATGCTCAAGCAGCTCTATTTCAAGCAACCCCTTATCAAGATCCCAGATTATTTTCGCTTTATCGAAGGGCTCAGCTTGACCAGACTAAATTCTTACAATGTTTCGTCACGAGAACACGCCTCGATCCTCTCTCACTCTTGAAAAATATTCGTCACGTTGAGAAGTTTCTGATGATCGTATCGAATGATCCAATAGTGGATCTTGCCGTGGAACTCGATTTAAACAGAGATAAAAAAGACGAATACGTGTCGCGAGATTTTGATAACTGACATTGACTGAAATAATAAACCGTTTGATAACGATGCAAATTTTTTAACATTGAAAACAAAAAATTCCGTGTACAAGTGTAACTATTACATAAGTGATATTCGTGGAAAAAAAATACGATAAAGAGTTTTCCTTTCTTTTCTTTCTTCATAAAATAAACAAGTTCGTAATTTGCTTTGTGCAACGTACGCGGACGTCACACGCGATCGTATGGAAATACGGTGCAATTTATTAGGGCATTTTAGGCAATAAAATGGTCAGATTTTCACGGAAGAATCGCACGAGACATCTTATCGCGGCGTTGTATTTCGCGAGGCTTGAAAATACAACGTTGTTCCCGCGATTTGCACCCCTTTATGCTCGCCTTAGAGGAAATCGTTAAATCGAAAAAGAGAACGGTCGGAGTTATGTGAGGCGCGTCGGATGTATTTCTTTGTCTGCAAACTGGTGGTGATTTTGTGACAAAGATGGCGTAGTTCAGTGTCTTAGAAGTTCTCATAAATAGAACGAAAATGAAAAGGAATTGTTTTGGAATTAGTTCGATTCGAAAAATTATTTGATTTCTCGTCATTTTTCAGATTGACGTGGAATATCGGTTTTATCCCTTGTTATTTTTATCGGGAATTGTTGAAAATTAAATATGATACAAAAGGATAAAACGAAAAATGGCATTCGATAAAAAAACGGATGAAACGAATATTTGTAATTATCGACGTTCGTTCGATTGATTACGGATGAAGGAATAAATCAGGGAAGTATAAACATGCAATTATTCATAGAAAATAAAATTGGCACGTAAAATATATCGATTGGCAAACATTGGAATGAAATTTTCTAAAAATATTGGTGGAATTGTATCGCGATAAAATTAATTAAAAAGAAACTTTAAGATTATTTAAGGTTTTTTAAGCTTTCAAAATTAATATATCCATTTTAATAAATGAAATCGTGGAAATGAAAGAACATATAGAAAATATTCGAGATTAAAACGTGTTTTTAAATCTAATGAATAAAATAAAAAATTCTTTTTAAATTTAAATTATTTAAATTTAATAAACAATGAATAATTAATCGTTTTGAAAATAATTTCTAATGAATCTTGTTTTAATTATATATTTTTTTTTTATCAGAAATTTACATTTTAAACAAAATACTTTTAAGTTATTTCCATCTATTAAATAAAATTATAATGGAAAAGAGTAAAAGAAAATAATTATTTATCGAGTATAAATCTCGACACAAAGGCAGGTTGCTTTAAAAACAATTCCATTCAATTCTATTCATCCATAAAAAGGACAATAAAAAATAGAGAGAGAAAAAATAAAAGAAAGAAAAAGTGGAACAAACAAGGGTTAAAAAAAAGTAAATGTAGACCAACCGTGATTGTGAACCGTGGAGTGACAGTGGTTGACACACGGTATTATTCGTAACTTGCGGCAGGAAAACAATAAATGTATCTTTTTTTGAGTAAAGGTAAATATGCATATAATATATATATTATGTATATAATATATAATATATATTTATATATACATATGCATATTATATGCATGGTATATGGTGTGGGTGTCAATGAATCGAGTCGTTGACGCTGAATATATTGAGTAGTATATGTTTTAATGATGTGACTCCATTAATATGTCAATATGCACAGGTAAATATTTCTTGTTATTATATAATAGAAGTGTTACAGTGTGTAATGTGATACGATAATAAATTTAATAGTAACCATATTATAATTAAGAACTTAAAATAACTCTAAAGGGTAAACTACATCACTATCGGCTAGCGACTATTTAGCGATAATAATAGCCTACTATGTCTTTTACTAGCGGCGCTCAGTGAGTGTGCTCTTTTCTTTCCATTTTAATATACCTCTTTCACTCTTTCTCTCTCATTCTCTTTTGTTTCTACTTTTTCTCAAATTCTCTGTATTCTTTCTCTCTCTCCCTTTCTCTCCCACTCTCACATTCTCTCTCTCTCTCTCTCTCTCTCTCTCTCTCTCTCTCTCTCTCTCTCTCTCTCTCTCTCTCTCTCTACGTGTAATTATTATTCCTCTGTGCTCGATTGTTCCTTTCGTACCCATGTTGTTCTCTCCCAATATTTATTATTTTTTTTTCTCTCTGTTTTATATAACTCATCTCACTGCCTTTTTTTATCGTGTCCCTTGCAACCTGTCGCTTCCACAAACATTAACCGATTCATACAAAGCTGCTTTTCACATCTCTGTCCACGTTTCCTTCACCTTCCCTCTCGCATGCGAACGATACGCGTTTCTCTCTGCCCGATTACTCTCAGACTCTGTCACCCTTTTACAAACGTTTCATCATATCGACGAATCTCTCGCATACGATGTTCATGATCCATTCGATCGCGAGAGATTCGAGAATATATATCGTCGTTAATTTATAAATTGTGTTCTCTTAAAAGTACACGCCACATTTGAATTATTACTATTAATTTTTTTTTTTTTTTTTTTTTTTTTTCTTTTAGTCAACCCGACAAGAGAGAAGACAAATGTTCGAAGGATGGTTCCGACAGCGGATTGCGAAAAGCGGTTTTTCGTGAACAGAGAGCTCGAAGCAAGCACATCGATTTCTCGCGTGTATTATTTCCTTTGTTTTCTTTGTTTCTCTAGTTTCTCAGTTATAGACACACGTGTACAAGCGTCCCACATACCTCTAGGACCGTGGTGTGAGGGGGTCGATCTCAGTGGATTGCTTTCGCGAGATGTCGCAGACAAAGAAATGAATGGATAATGAGTCAAACTGTCGGTGATTTTTTTATACACATACACATACATAATAATCGTATATAAACAATGGATGTGCGTGGATTCGTGGTGGTTGTGCTGTTGTGTTCAGTGTGTGACGGTCTAAATGGTATTGATCGATTCTTTTACATTTCGTTTGCTTTTAATCTTTTCCTGTTTTGTTCCTGTTTTCTTCGTTTTTTTTTTTTCCTCTTTCGTTCGAATGAGTTTCTTTTAATTTTATATATATATATATATACATATATATATATATATATATATATATTATATTCGTTTTGGCGAGTGTGATACTCGTTCGCACGAGTTTTGCTACTTCTCTCTTGATAAAAAGGCGGAATGACGTTAAAAATCGCGTTCGTCCATCCCGCCAGTGTCGTTCACGTGTCACGAATATTTCTCATCCGTTTACCGTTCTCACCTCAGAGAGGAAAAATCGTCCGCCCGTTTCTCGAGGGTCTCGAGTTTCACGTGATGCGCGCTACTACTGCTTAACGAACGTCTTACAAAGTGGTCCATCCTGGAGGAGGTGTAGCTTTATGTCGCGTGAAAAAAATGGGCACAAAAGTCGTCGAAAAGTGCCACTAGAAACGAGCTGTCCCACTCTCGCGTCTATCACCCCATTTCCCTTTCCCTTAAATACTTAAACTCGATTTACATTCATTACTTCCCGTGTTACGGGCTCTTCTTCTTCTTTTTTTTTTTTTTTTTTTTTGCTCTCGTGACTTCTTTTTCTATACGAAATAGGAACAACCGTTGTTCTAGCGGACTTTGAGCTCTCGAATGTAACGTGTGATCTCGATGATGCGCGAGCGGAGACTACTAGACGGGGGAGGGTTGCACGAAACGTGGATGCGTTACCTCGTGTTCTAATTAGGCTGCTATTATAGCTTTGAAAAGCGAACGATGCACGATGTACGTGTTTTTTATTGTTTGGTTTTTTTTTTTTTTACACGATAGTTTTATTTTTCTTTCTCTGTAACTTTTATTGTATACATGGTATATATTTTCGTTTGCTTCCCCGTTTTTATTTATTTATTTTACTTTTTTTTCTTATTATATTTCTATTATCGTAATTCTTCTCGTTTGTTTATTCATATATGAATGAGAGGAGACGCGGCTTGCACACACGATTACGGAAAATTCGAATGTCGAAAAGGGTAACAATTCCAGAACTATGGGATTTCAATTATTTATATTTCATAATCAGTTTTTCTATATATATTTTCATCTTTTTTTTTTGTTCATATAGAATCTGTAGATATACATTCTTGGCAAATCCGAAAAAACTGATTCCAAAATAGGAACAGATCATTGTGCGAACTATGTATACAGGGTGCAAGTTTTGTTTTTTTGAAATCTTCTTTCTCTTTCCGTTTGTATGTTTTGTTGTTGTTTGTTTCTTTTTTTTTTGTTTCACCTGTTTAATTGGTTTTCTTGTTTAATGTTTTTGTGGTTTATTGTTTATTGTTGTCGTCGCGAAAAAACACACGTGCGTGTATAAAATATTCAAACGATTTTTTGCTCGAAACTATGTATATATCTATATACACAATGCTGTTTCCTTTGCATATGTGTGTGTGTATGTATGAGAAAGTGTTCATCTTTCTTTCGTTTTCTTTTTATTTTGTTTGTTGTTTTCGTTTAATGCTTGTTCATTTTTATTTATTCGTATTTTTTTTTTGTTTTTTTGTTTTTTTTTTTTTTTTTTTGGTTCAATCAGTATCTTTCTTTACTTTTTTTTCCCATTATTATTTTTAATTTTTCATCTGAACGGTGGTACATTTGATAGGGTGCACAGGGCTGCTAGGCACAGATAATTGACTCGCAAATAACTCTTCAAACAACATTAGAGCGTACGACATACAAGTATTAATATACACATTACATCATTAATTATTATTATTATTTTTTTTTTTTATGCTTTTGTTTTCGTTTAAAGAGTAATCATATATTGGAGTGTGTCTGTGTCTCCTGTCTCTTGGCCATTGTGTCAATGTGTCACCTCTCCGTTCGATATGGACACGATATATGTGTGTGTGTATTCATGTTGTGCTTGTGTGTTTGTATACGTATTAAAATGTCTACGATCGCCACTACTGTGTGTGTGTGTGTGTGTCGTATCTGAAATTTTTATTTTTTTATGTCCCGAATGAACGTGCGCTGCGACATCACAGACTAATTATGGATAGGCCAATGCTCATTTCCAATTAATCAGGCATACTTTCGAAAGAAACAAGATCGTTCTCAACGATTTAGTAGATCACGATTTTATTCGAGACACATCTCGTTTCGAGATTTGATTTAATTAAAAAAAAAAATCATTTCGATCCACGCTATATCATTTATCAACAGAATCTTCGATTAACAAACTCACGAGTTATAATTAAATTAAAAAAAAAAAAAAAAAAAAAAAGAAGAAAAACAAAGTAATACTCGATATTCAATTTCAAAGATATCATTAGAAACTAAGAAAGTTTCAAACCTTGGAAAAAGTAATTAAAAGGTGGAAACTTGAAAAACTTAATTCTTCGAGTTTTATACATAATCGAAATCGTGAAGGTAAACTCGACGCCATCTCTTATCCCTCCGTATCGATCCCGAAATCGCAATCGATCCACGATGTTTGCGTGTACACAGATAAACCTCGTAAGCGAGGATTAGCATTCACCGATCCATCTTGGGCTATCTTGACGCAGTACTTGTTGTCTCGGTGTTGGTCTCGGTGTACATAATGGCGTGCGATGGTGTGTGTGATGATGTGTCGGTGTGTAACGATGTCGAGTATTTTCGAGTGTGTGATGTTGCTGATGCGTGTACAATCAATTGTATAATAATGTATACAGTCAACAAATTCTTATTACATCTAGTTTGTCTTTTGACGCAGCGATGGGAAGACAGAGCATAGAGACCCTTCTTGGCTCAGATGTACAATAACGAGGTGGATTATTATATATATATATATTTTTTTTTTCTTTTTCTTTTCTTTTTTTTTTTATTACTCTGGGAACGAGAAATAAGAAGGAACGATGAAAGAGGGGAGGGGGGGGGACGAAGGGAGGAGAGGGAAGGGAATGATTTTTCTTTCCTCCGTTTCTTATTTTCTTATTTTTTAAAGGGAGGAGGGAAGGGAGGAAAGGAACATACGACGAGGGGACAAATCGGTATAGCCTAATATTTTCTCAAGGTGTATGTATATATATATATATATATAAACGCTATGACGCCGAAATAGAGACAAAAAAGGGAAAGAAACTTGATCATTGAAAGGATACGTTAGGACTAATTCTTAGAAACATTGATATGACGCATGGTAGTGCTTTTGGGATACGTAAGATTCTGATATGTGGGGCAGGTATATGTTACTTGGTAATACTTAGAGGGGAAAGGAGGGATTGCTAAAAAGGTTACTGCGCTTTGGTTTATTTTGTTTGGCCCAGAGCATTTTTTTTTTCCCTCGATATTCTAGCGAGAAAAAACGCGTGATTGTTTGATGCTTTTATGATACTCGAAGCTGGTTCCATCGAATCGTGGGAGAAGGAAAGAAACTTCTTAGTAAGTAGCGATGTTTCAAACGTTGCTCAAACGAACAACGAGTACTCGCTTGAATATGAAATAAAAAATAGTTCAGGGAGGGAGGAAAAGTAGTATTATATTCATGTTCTTTTTTCTTAATTTATGGAATTATTTTCAGGCTTCGAGTAGCCGTGGCATCAACGCATCAACGGTTAATTGCACAAAAATATAATTACTTGAAATAATTGTCGCGAGATCGGAACGACCATTTCGAGATTAATTCGAGATATCGATACAGGTACTCATATGTTCCATTTTTTTTTCTTCTTTCTTTTTGTCTTTTTTTTTTTTTTTTTAGCCGTAAATGCGAATAAGTGTTGCTCCTTTTGTTTTATCCTCGATTCAGATAACGAGGGAATATTTGAAAAAGGATAAGGGAGGTCGAAATCGATCTCGCGACACTCGGATATCGCAACGAACGAGAGCAACGAGCCTTCTTTTAAGGGACAAAAGAAATCAAAGCGCACTCGGCAGTAATACCTTTTTTTTCGCAATACTATTAATCAATAACAATATTAACGATATGTACCTACTCTCCGATCTACCTAACATTACCTAACTACAAACATTAAACCTAACGCTTTTAAACGCAATAATCGATCATCATAACATTACTTAATTCGTTCCAATTTTTATAAAATTGGAACTATAAATAATAATTAATAATTAATTAATTAATAATTAATAATAATAATAATAATAATAATCATCATCATCATCATCATTTATCATCATCACCATCATTAATCATCATTATCATCATTATCATCATCATCGTCATCGTCGTCGCGATAATACTAATCAATCATAATTACACAATCAATCGTCGATATATAATTGAAATTCTTATGCGAATTGCAAATATATACATACAGATGGGATATGTATTTTTGTGTTTTTAAGATTCAAACGAACGTGTCTACCCTTTCTTTCTATCCGTCTTTAATTATTTTCTCGCTCACTCTCTCTCTCTCTTTCTCTCTCTCGTTCTCTCTCTCTTTCTCTCTCTCTCGTCCTCTCTCTCTCTATCTCTCGTTCTATTTTGATATTTAATTATCGATACGAATGAAATTTTTCTCATTCTCACCCTCCCTTTCTCTCTCTCTCTCTCTCTCTCTTTCTCTCTACAACCTCGTAAGTTTTATATATTTTTTCCCCCGTTTTTTTTCTCTTCTTTCTTTTTTTCTTCAACCTTCCAAATGTACGATTTGTTTTTTTTCTTATCGTCAGTGTGTGTGTATATGTGTATGTGTGTGTATGTTTACACAGTGCTATTTAGACGCTATATGGAATACTGTGTCGTTAAAGACTCTCTACACGCTACAATTACAATTTGATTTTTTTGTACATACAGAAGAATCTCTCTCTGTTCCAACGGGAATATATTCAACGTCGGAGGACGAGCACACACATATACGCACGCACGCATCCGCACACATATATATATATATATATGTATATATATATTTATTCATTTTTTTATTTATATATTTATTTATAATATACACACACGATCAAAGTTCCGAACGATTCGACGTGCATAATCTTCTCTGCACTCTTTTTTTTCTACACTTTCGTCATTCACGTTTCGAAAAAAAGAAAGAAAAGCGAGACGATATCATTAGAATGCGCGATGCTACGTGTTTTTTCTTCTTTTTCATTTTTGTCGCACAACGAGCGTCCACACACAGAGCAAAGTCGTTAAGAAGCTATTTACAAGATTTGAAAAGGCCGAAAAAAAAATATAAATAGATCTTGAACGTTCATTTCCTTTTTCTTTTTTCTTTTTTTTTTCACAGCGCGTTATTTCCCCTTTATTCGTCGTACGGAACTCGATCGTGGCGCGTCATCATTGTCGAGCCTCCAGAAAAGAAAAGTAAGCGAAGAAGAAGAAGAAGAAGAAGAAAAACGAAGAGATCGAAAATCCTCCGTGACGGAAGCTCGTCGTCCTCCGATGGAACAGCGCGATATCGTTTTAGACTTTATCCGTTCTGCCTTTAAATTTAACCCTTCCACCGTCGAATCGATCTAGACGCAATGTCTTCGTGGAGACAAGCAGATAAGCTCTACCGCTTTAGAAACCGTCGTTGTTTGCCTCTGACACGCCTTCGAACGAGAGAGCAGCAATCGCGCGACATTAGTATCATCAAGAGGATTACATGTGTCCGTTTTTCAAAACACGCACGCTTGACAAGAGACGCTATCGCACACTGGTCTCGTTTTATATCGGAATTTTATTATGGAGGAGGATCGTCGTCTTATATAGAACTTGGTGCACACGCATGTTCGTGTATACGCACGAGATACAATTTAGAAGGCATTTCGTTCTAATCGATGAAGAATATTACAATGCACGACGGTGGGAAGAGCTAAATGTAAAGTAGTAGTGACAATAGTAGTAATAGTAATAACAGTAGTAGTAATAATAATAGTAGTAATAGTAGTAGTTAATAGCGAAGTGAACACCTCTGTTCGTCGCGAGATGAAGAAAGGAACAGAAATGGAGAGAGAAAAAAAAAAAAAAAAAAGAAGAAAAAGAAAAAAAATACAGGACATCGCGAGGGGATATTACTCTGAAAGATTGTTGCTTGTTTTTTTGTCCAGTGTTGCACGTAGAAGTACACAGCACAGGGGGAGGGAAAAAAACGTGTGGTTTCTTTTTTCTCCTTTTTCTTTTTCATTTTTTTTTTTTTTCGTTTTTTTTTATCCTTTTTTACCAAGTATTCGTTGTTAAACGTGTATACTAGCGTAAGTAAAATTTACTTTACCATACACGCTGATCACGATGTACAGGTAAAGTATCAGAAAATAAGCGACAGTCTGGCATGCGTGCTTGACCTCTCAAATACAATTTTTTTTTTTTTTTTTTTTATAAATGAGAACGCGTTTTATATTTTTATTTGTTATTTTCTTTCTTTTTTTCCTTTTTTTTTTTTTTTTTTTTTTTTTTGATTCTTAAATTGAATCTTTTCCTTGTTTCTTTTCGCACTTGCATAATGTGTATCTATCTAGAGTACATCGCACCGGAGAGGAATTCTCAGGAGCGTATCGTTCAACGAGAATACAATTCTCCAAGCAAATTAAACGATATACATATAAACGTAATTCCTTAAAAACAAGAATGTATCTGGTCGATTATCAATTTCATTCCTTCCATGTGTAATGTATAGATCACGCGTATTTCAAAGAAATGAAAAAATATTTCTTTCTTGCGATCATCATACATTTCACATACATGATTTAAATTTAAAATAAAACAGAAAAAATATAAAGAGAGAGAGGGGGAGGAGGAAAGAGATAAAATAGTAAAATTTCTTTGCATATCCTAATAAATTTTTGTTCTTAAAGAATTACCATCAAATTTGTATGAAAATTGAATTTGATCTTGATCTTAGATCGTGTTAAAAATTTTTTTTATTTATTTATTAGTATATTTAGGGAACGATATTCTCCTGATTTAAATATACCATACTCCGTAGATCACATTTAATATGTATATATATATATATATAGATGTGTGTGTCGTGTGTATAATATATATATACATATATCTACAAAATATTATGATATGATTACAAGTTCTAATTGCTTAAATCTACTCCTTTTTTCTTTTTTTTTTTCTTCTTTACCTTACGCGTTAGGTCCTGCTCACTATTTTGAAATGAAAATTCCGAAATATATTTCATTATTGGATAAAATCGCGATATAACTGTTTATTCTACCGTAAAACCTATTCTTTTGTAATCTTATATGTATATATAATTACACAATAATGGTAATTAATAATAATAGTAGTAGTAATAATAATAATATATTATCAATAGTAATAATAATAGTAACCATCTTATTATAATTCATAATAAAAAAATACAAGAATGTGATGTAGAAACAATTTTACAGTCCTCCCAATGGTTGGACGTTTAAAAAAGAAAAAGAAAAAAAAAACAAGAAAAAATAAAGAACGAAAAAAAGTATAATATCGATAAGTCGTGGAAACAGAACACAATATCGTGAATAGGAATTGAAAAATAATAAACGAACGATCCATTATCGTCAACGCAACGATCATCGAGCACAAGTAGTTTTAATTATAGTGCATCTATGTTTTGTTTTAATTGTCCTTTGTTTTCTTAAATTTTTCCCTTAATTCGTTAATTAGTACCTTTTTTTCTCATCGATATACACATATCCTACGATTGATAAGTTATAATTTTTCTCCCATTCTGAGAAACTCTTGTCAAATAGCAACGCACAACGTGATATATACGTGGTTATTTCTTATTTTTCATCCGATTTTTTATTCGCTATCATTCTCACTCATATTTTTTTTTTTTTTTTTTTTTCTTTAATCCTTACGTTATACTCTTCTCTATTTATCTCAGCAATCAACAAGGATCCTCGCTTTTGCGTACTGAGCCCCTTAGAACGATGTACAACTTATTCTCTAGTTGTATTGTAACAAATATTGCCTCGAATATAAACACTTTTTTTGTCACCTTAATTCCCTTATATAAGTTTATAATTCTCGTTATTATTTTTTTTCTTTTTTTTTTTTGTTTGCGTAAGTTAGGTCTCTCTCTCACGATCAATGGACAAAAATGGCGGATTATTTTATTTCTCGCTCTCTCTATTTCTCTCGCTCTCTCTCTCTCTCTCTCTCTCTCTCTCTCTCACGCATCCTTTGAAAAAGGGGTAACCAACAAGATACTTAGCCCCCCCCTTCTTTTTTTCTTTACTTGTTTGTATTTTGTTTTGTTTTTCTTATTATCTTACGTTACGTATGGCCGAGTCAAGTCTCTATTAATTTTTTTTTTCTTTTTACATTTATTTAGAGTAATCATTTTGGTTCGCTTCAAAAACACAACTTATTAACCTTTATACTTTTATTATTATTATTATTATTTTTTACTTTACCTTACGCTTTTTTTCGCATTTTTTTTTTTATTCACTTTTTTTTTGTAATCTTATTTCTTAAATCGGAGATCTAAAACCTTTCTTATAAAAATGTCCCCCGGCCCGACAAAATATTGCCGTGGGACCACTAATATATTGTGTGTCGTCGACTTCATTGTCTTCATATAAAATTCAATTCACAGTCCGCGATCTGATCAATAGTGTACGAGCGCTTTCAAGAGAATATAACCCTTCGATCGCATGTGCTTCTTTCTCTCTTTCCTCCTCTCTATTTTTCCTCTTCTCTTTCTCTCTCTCTCTTTCTCTTCATCTCTCTTTCTCTCTCTCTTCCTTTCTCATTTCTCCTATCCGTTTTTTTCTCAATGCACGCGTATACATCGAATCGTCGTCGCAACCTGAACGCTACAGCTCGTAGGGGAATTTTTCATCTGTATTTGCTTTTTTTCTCTGTATTCCTCCTCCATTCCCCCATTCCGTATCTTACATTTCATCGAGAAGAAGCAAGGTTGCGATCAACGATTTTTTTCTTTTATCTTTTCGATCGAGACACCAACAATCGAGACAATCATTATATCTGCATCAATTTCTTTCTTCCATTTTTACTCCCTCTCATCTTTCCATCCTCCTTCGCTCAATCGTTTCTCTTCTCCAAAATCGAGACTCGCGAGAAGTTTCCTCGTGCGACGCGAAAAAGAAGCGACTCTATTCGAGACGGTTTATACGGTTTTTTTTTTTTTGTTTTTTTTTCTCTTAACGTTTTCCTGTCGAAACAGTTTCCGGCGAAAAAACCGGATGTCGCGGGACCGAGGTATCCGATATTCAACGTGCAAAAACAAATGCATCTTCTCAAACTTGATTACCTACAAAAAATCTTCCTCTCTTTCTTTCATTCTTTCATTCACTCATTCACTCTTTCTCTCACTCTCCCCCTCTCTTTCTCTCTTGCGAGCACAATTCCAAGCGTTGTAAATAAAATCTGAACAATGTGAAAACATAAATAGATATTCGTATTCGAAGCGCATGTATGGCTATCAATATATAATATATATACACGTATAGAGTATATAAAACAACGACAGACAGAGCTATCAGAATCGAAGAACAATGAGACTTTTGCTTTCTTCTCTCTTTCCCATTTATTGTTAATATTATTGTTTTCCATATTTTCTCCTTCTCTCTCTCTCTCTCTCTCTCTCTCTCTCTCTCTCTCTCTCTCTCTCTCTCTTTCGTTTCTTGCTCCATAGCAAAAAGATTCTCGCGAGTCGGATGTATTTTATTATATATTTGTTTCTTTCTATTTTCTTCGTCGTGACGGAGTAAGTTTATCTTGTTTTTCATAATATATAAGCGGACATACTCGCGTGCACGATTGATCCAGATCCCCTGAACACTCTCAGATAATTGTATCCAATGTTGTATCTTCTATAATGGTCGATGAGGAACCTCCGATTTATTTTGGATCCCATGAGAAATGGTCAACGAGGAACGCGGTGGTGCACTCGGCTTCGAGATCGTGGAGGTGTCTTTTTCGTTTGCTTTTTCCTTTTCATTGTTTTTCCCTTCCTCTCTCTCTTCTCTCTCTCTCTCTCTCTCTCTCTCTGTTTCTCTCTTTCTTATTCCCCGGTTTAAAAATATGCACGTAAAAGAGACGTGGTAGCTCGTACGCGTGCCACGGAAACGAACAATGGTGGAAAACACGTGATGGTTTGCCTCTGTGCGATACGTGATAACGTTATATACGCGCTGGGTCAACGTAGAAGCAACTGTTCTGTGTTCTGATCTGTCAGCTTCGCGAGGAATCGTCAATTTTCCGATTTTATTTATTTTTATTTTTATATATATATATATATTTTTCTTTTACCTCTAAACATTTTTTCAAATATTTCGACAACGAGTGAAGTCGTTATACAACGACAATTGCTCGACAGTTGCTCGAGAAAAAGTATTGGTCTCGCTTCCCCAGCCCCTTGATATGTAATCTATGCCCACCATGGTCAACCTCCCATTAGACACTAGGTTTCTCCCGAAATATCTCTCTCTCTCACTCTCTCTCCCTCTCCCTCTCTCTCTCTCAAGACAATTCTTCACCAACGATCCTCGCGTCTAACAGAAGGAAACAAGCTTCCACGAAGGTTACGAATCCTCGCATTCCTTGTAATTCCTCGAGCAAAAGAAGAACGGTTCCCCTTGCTCCGTTCTTTTTCTTCGTCAACGAATTCTAACGATACGCTCGAGGTTTCGTTCCGTTGTTAATACTGACACACTACTGACGTAACGGGATCTCCGCAGTACGGACTAAGCACGTATACCCGGACCTCGCCAAAAGCAACGCAAGGAGGAAAGAAGAAACGAAAGTGGAAACGGGGGGCGGGGGATAAGATCGGTGAAACGAACGGTGAAGATAAAAAAGAAAGAAGAAAAAAGAAAAAAAGAAAAAAAGGAAAGAAAGAAAGGAAGAAGAAAAAAAGGAAGAACGAACGAAAAAAAAAAAAAAGAAGCGAAGAACGAAAAGAGTATACAGAAGAGGAGAAAGAAGAGTGCGTAGTACGTAGGGTGATCGAGAGAGGGCAAAAAGCAAAGGAGGAGATAAAAAGAAAAATAAGTGGAACACACAGACATCGATGCCCCTCGATGTCTCGCCTTTTATATAGACTCTTTCATTTCGATCCAGCCATGCGGACGATCCTCGATGACCTTCGTGTAGCTCGCTCGTGCCACGTTCCACCCTGTCGACGACGATGAGATCCCGCCGACGCCGCGATCACATTTTCCAGCGAGAGAACCACTCGAGCCAGATTTTTTTTTTTTTTTTTTTTTTATTCTTTTTATTCGGTTTACTTCTCGACTCTCGATCGAGGCCGAGTTCCGGCCCGCTGACCCTCGAACGGAACCGATTCTTCTTCCAGCGACCAGCGTCTGATCATTGCCAGATTTGGTCACCACGCGGCGAGGAGGAGTTAGCAACGGTAGTTAATAATAAAAGATATTCAGTATGCAGCGGTAGAATATGAATATTCGAGGACAAGCGCGTGGCGTATACGCACATACATACACACACATACACACATACACACATACACACACATATATACATATATGCACACATATGTGTATACATACATGTATATGTATATACGTATATATATATATATATATTTTTTTTTTCTTTTTCTTTTTCCGTCTTTTGCTGCCTCGTCCGGCGAATAGGCCCGCTGCTCTTCTCATCAGTACGGCCAGAACGTAGGCAACGGAGGCGGTGGTGGCGGTGGCACGGTAGGATAGAGAGTTGGAGTGGCGATCAGAACGCAGGTGGGCGGCAGGGGAGGCGGCACGGGCGGCGGTAAGACCGGGGAGAGTGTAATCGCTGCGGCTGGGTGCAGGGCCGTGCCCGTCGGGGCACACAACGGGTGCAGGGCGAGAGAGGGACGCTGGCGCTGACGCTGACGCTGCTGGCCCTGGACCTCGCCGTTCTATTCCGAGTCCTGCTGCATTTTGACGTGGCCATTACCGGCGGAATTGCTCGACGTGCTGCCGCTGCTGGGCGGGAAACTCGTTGGTATGGTGCGGGACGACGAGAAGCACAGTTTCATGATGTATGGGAATTTGCCATCTGGAAAAGAAGAGGGAGGACGGGGGATATAATCAGCTCGTTCGCCTTCTCGTTTCGTCGTTTGAGTTGATCGAGCAATGATTCGATATCAATTGTGTTCGTTTGACGAAACGAATCGAGTAGAATTTGTTTATTATATAAACAAATGTGTCGAGAGAAGTTTATCGGTTAAAAAATTCGAGGATCTAGTTAGATGTGGATATCAATAACTCGCTTAATAGTGCGAGAAGATTAGTTTGGAAACGGAGGAAATTAAATTAATTATTTTATACGAGGAGATTTGTCGAGAGAAATACTCACTGCTGTTTTCCAATGCTGTGTGATTGCATTCCATGATGGCAGCTACCGCGATTCCGACGCTGCTGAACTCGATGAGGCCGGACGATGATCGTTCCGATTTAAGGGGGAACAGTTTCACTGTCGTTGGCGCCTCGATACCGCGTTCCACGAATACACGATGCACGGTCTCCTCGGTTAAATCCGGGGGCGTGTTGAAAAAGTGGACTATCTTTGAGGGTGGTTGTATTCTATTTTTATTGGCCATCGCTGGATTTAGGAACCTGGAAACCGATAATAATACCCTTCGATTAAACCAACAGCATTTATCGCGAATTTCAATAAATCTTCCATCCGATTATTTAATCAGTGCGCAACGAATTAAAATGCAAACCACACGACACGTATTACGCACGGGAAAACAAGTATACTGCTATGTGTAGCGTGGCGAGAAACACGAAAACACGATGAATTTGAATTTCCGTCGAATCGATTTACGTGTTTCGATTGCAAAATTTCAACACCTCGAATTCATCTCTTCTTGATTAATTCCTTCGCAATAAGTACGTATAATCAATGGAGAGAAAGAGAGAAAAATGGTCGCAAAACAAGATCGTTCTAAAAATCTCCGGCCGCGATTAAATTCTCATCAAATAAATATTAAACCCGGCCGAGAAGTGGAGCTCGAAATCTCCGGAAGTAGGAGCGTCGTTAATTGCGCTCCGTTGTTCCGTTTCCACAAGAAACGTGTTCGTCAATGCGAAACGTTTCGTCCAATTCTCCAGATACCATAAAATCTCTCTCTCTCTCGTTAACGTTCATTCAGCGTTTCGAGAGATTTCGCTATCTCGAATTGATTTCAGATCATCCTTCGGGGGATGATCAATTCAAGAGAATCAGAAGACGAACACGACTTTGTTCAACGATCGAATCGAAATTTAGAAGAATTGTATAATTGAAAATATATAATGAACGAGAAGCACGTTGAGCTAAGAAGGATAGCAAGCGGATGAAAATGGAATCGATGGAGGAGAGAATTTTAAGATAGATTGGTATACATAGATGGATCTCATACCTGTTATTCTTGCTTCCTGTGAAATCTTTGAAGCTCGCTGTCTTGTCGGGCAGAATGTAGGGATTGGTGACGTCCGAGAGGAAAGCCTGCTTCGAGAAACCGAGCTGCAACCTTCCGTCTGTACCGATCGTCACGTTGTTCAGATTCTGTAGGCAACGCTCCACGGCTATGCTGTCGCCCATCTGGATCATTGCGCAGCCCTCTTTCGTCTTCAAAAACTTCACCTGTTGTAGAATCATCGATACATTTTTGTTCATCGAATCTTGTTTAAAATCGTTGGAGGGTCAAACAATCAAAGGAGAGGGTAATTCTTTCTTTTTATCTTTGCCAAAAAATTTTTGCATTAACGTGATTTTTCACGACGACAAGATTCGAAATTCGAATCTAAAACTTCTTCCACTACTTGCAACGAGAAACTGAATAGTTTATATCATCGATTCGTGTCATCGTTTCTTTATCCTCCAAGTTCATCAAATTTTCATAGTTTTCTTTGTGCTACTAGTCAAAATGTAGTTAAAGTTGATTAGCGATAACGAGATTCAAATTCAAATTTAATTTATTCAGATATCCCTGTTACCAAATTCAGAATAATCATAGTATCAGAATAATCAATTTCCCCTTTCTTCTTCGTTCAAAGTTTAATCAAACTTTCATACTACTTTCTTTGCACTTTCGAATCAAGATATTACAATCAACATTCAATCCAGCTAATCCTCTAAGCGACGACGCGAGATTCGAATTCGAGTTCTAATTCCAAATACCCAAATACATCTTTTCACCCAAGAGACAAGAAATTCCACGGACGATCGCTTGGCAAATACAATACAATACTCGAGACCACCAAAAACAACCCCGTAACAAATTTCACCCGGTCTTTATCCAAGCGATGAACAGTAAAAGCCGACGTACCTTCGTTACATTTCCATACAGGCAGAACAAGTTGAACAGTTTGTCCGTGTTGACTTTATCCGGTTGGAGCCCGTAGACCATCATCACGGACCCCTGCGTGCTCGAAGGTGGCGTTTGCCCCAAGGTGGGCACGTAACCAGGTCGAGGTGGCGTAGGATGTAATGGTTCTCGACCGCTGAAATCGCTCTTAATACCATAACGCTCCACGTACGGCTCCGCATACGTCGCTGGTCCATTGAAATTCTCCTCGTAACGATCGTGACCGGCACCAGGTGGGAAAGTTACCTGTGGCGTGGATCCTGCGAACAAAAGCAATCGAGATGTGTGGAGGCGTGTGCGAGGCGAGTCGATGTGTCCTTTGTCTAACTCTCTCTCTCTCTCTCTCTCTCTCTCTCTCTCTCTCTCTCTCTCTCTCTCTCTCGATGATTTCATCCTCGCGCAATATCGAGCGTGTGATCTAGCAGCGCGTTCCATGTTCCAATGGTTAATACGCTAATTATGGAAATCGAGCGACTGTTGCGTCCCTATTAATCACGAGAGGCGAGAGGAAATATTAATTATTCCCGCTGAATGGTCGTTTAACGCGTCGAACGAACGAGGGGAATATGGGTTTTTAAACGCTTCGAATCGTTTAGATACGCGAATTTTTATCTTTTTTATTTTTTTTGGCTACTATATTCGGTATAATCGGTGGTGTATCTGGATAACCTTTTGTTGGAAGGTGCGTTATATTTTTGATTTGTTAATTATTCGAAAAAGGTAATAGTTTTATATTGGATAAAAATAATAGGTAGGATTGTAAGAGATCTGTAAGAGAAAGATTTTCGTGTTATGAGAAGAAAGCAAGAACGCAAAGAGAGTTGGGATTGTAATAAATTTTTCTTTGGTTACAACAGAAGATATATAATATTTTATTTCATTTTATTTTAAAGCAACAAAAATTTTTTCCCTTAAAGACAGAATGATAGGTAAAATTATGATCTAATCACTGACTTGAGAATCGCTCTCAAAGTTCCACTTTGACATTGTTCTTTGAACGTTGTTGATCCAGTTTTCTTCGGTCGGTCGAACTTTCTTCAACTTCAGAATTTTATCTGTTCTTTATTTAACGTCCCTTCCTCCTGGTGTTATTTCCTCGAGAAGAATTCTTTCTCACTTCTATACTCTTTCTCCAAATTTTTTTTCTTTATCACGTTATATGGATAAATTTTATTAATACAAGATGTTCCTATAATTAATATTAAAATATGCTTTACAATTTGTTACAATTCCATTCGATTCAAAAATATGATTCTATTAATCATTGAACACGAGTATTTCTCGTTATCGAAGCTTCTCGGATCCCATTCTTCAAACGGACACCGCGATTCCTGAGATTGGGTTACGTCCACGATTATATAGTTTTCGATAGCTCGACATAACTCGGCTACAATTACATCATCGATTTTCTGTCAAAATTCCTCCGGCCTGTTATATCTTCCATATCACGAGTCCACCGTATAATAATAATTTTCCGTAGGAAACCGTAACGGAAATCTGCCTCTCCGCCATCCTCAACTATAAATCGTGCAATTTACGCCCACACGTGATAATTTTCACGCCGTACTTCGAAAACGATCAACGAAACGCGGGCATCCAAAAATTTTGCCCGGTATCGTTTGTCACTTCTATTTATCGCATCGTTCTTTCAGTTTCGAAAAAGCACAAACAAAGCGAGAAAAATAGAAAAAAAAAAAAAAAAAAATGAAAATAAAAAATATGCAATTCAACTTCGCGCGAACGATAAAACTTTCAACCGGTAAATCCGAAAATGTATTTCGGCAAAAAATATCCTGTTACGACACATTTTTCTGGCCTAATAATTCCGGTAACGAACTATTCACTACTCACGATTTTGCCCCTCCCCTCCCCTCCTCCCTCCCCGGCAAAATGAGAATTAGAGTTCGAAAACTTCTATCCAGAGATCACTACTATACAATTAAGCGGATTCAGCGGATTTCGCGCGTACCGGATGGAAAAGTATCGAATGCAAGGGAGCTCGACCTCGTTCGATGGCCCATCCGTTTTCTCAATTAGTTCGCTTAATTTGACTATCAAAGAGAGAAACGAGGGGAGATGGGAGGAGAGGAGCGGGGGGGGGGGAGGGGAGGGTTGGTCGGGCGTGAGCTTGGGATGAGGTACACACTTACCGTATGGCTGTGGCGCGGCGCCGTATCTGGGTTCCGCCAAAAGGGGAGCCGGCCTTCCATTTCCTGTCGCGTCGTTTTTGTGCGCGCTCGATCCTGTAAAAAAGAAAAAAGAAAAAAACCATCTCAATTATACTATCCATCGTTTATCCTGAACGATCGAGGCAAGCAAAACTTTTTCTTCTTCGGAATCGATCGACCGATATCGACCGAGGGATCTTCTTCTCCTCCTCCTTCTCCCGTTTTGTGTTTCTTTTCCTTTCCCTTCCCCCTCTCCCTTCCTCTCTCTCTCTCTCTCTCTCTCTCTCTCTCTCTGTCTCTTCCTCGCTTTCCATTTATAGAAATAGCACATGGAACGAACAGGGCATCGGCGTTATTTTATTCCGGCGTGTACGGTCGAGGCGCAATTTGTTTCACCGAACGGAATTGCGCGACATTCAATCTACGAATTGAATCGGTTTTCCTCTCGATTGGCGGCGCGCAACGCCGTAGAACGAATCCTGAATAAGTTAGCAAAGCTAACGGACGTGGCCCGGATTAATCAATTCCCCGGCGATTCTCCCCCTCTCGGGGGAATGTCAGATCGTCAGAAATTCGAGGAAACAAGCCGATCAGTGCAACACACACTTGTGCTGTGTTGTGTGAAATCTGCCGGTGTCAACCTCAGTTTCCTTAGAAGGGGGAGAGAGAGGGAGGAAACTCGTTGCGACCGATCTCGGATTGGATAGTCAAAGATATAGCAGGAGATCCCGGGGAGAACACGCGAGATTTTGACAGTTTGGGGGCAGTTTACTGATTAGCACGGCTTAGTTATGGGGAGAAGCACGGTCTCTCGGGGGAGGGATTAGGGGGAGGGATAGGAACACGGCCGCAAAGGGTTCGAACGAAACTCTGATTCTTGATGGGTTAGGATCCAACGTAGGATCGAAAAATTCCAACTAACTCTGGCCTGGTCCTCGAGGATTTAAAGGGAGTTGTTCGTGGTCTCCGTGGACGAAGTTGCAGCGTTTGGTTGGAAAGTTTGAGGGAGGGGTTTGAATTTCCTTTACCACGAGGGTTGTTTAATTCTTGCTACTATACTGGTGACGTAAATTAAAATAATAAATAGGAAATTTTAATTATATATTTAAAAGTAAGACGTTGGTATATAAATAGCTCAAGTAAATATCATCATGAAGCTGAATCGATCAACTTTGCTTTTCGAAAAATCTTTAATTTAACACGAAAATATCACCTCGATGGACTTTTTTTTTATTTCAGCGCGAAAATATTGCTTCGATCGACTTAATCAATTTAGCTTCCCCGCACTGTTTCAAAAAGCGTTCTTTCGAAGAGAGAGAGAGAGAGAGAGAGAGAGAAAGAGAGAAAGAGAAAAATCGTTTAATAATAAATCAAAAGCGTCCTACTCATACGTCCTCTCCTATATTTCCTCAAATATATTCCCTTCGCGTTTCCCGAATCACAATCGCGCAACAAAACAACGCGATAAAATAAACGACAACTTCGCGATATAATACGCGATATAAACATTAACGTTCCAATTTCGCGGGCAAAATTACGAATTAATAATATTCATAAAATTCTATTCCGATGAAACGATTCTTTTTATCCATCCTCCCGATCGAAAACGGTTTGAAAACGGTTCCCGCTTCCGGCCACACTTCATTTTACCATACAATTGCGCGCACAGACACAGACGCAAGGGCCCGTCACTTGTTTTCCTTCGTTGTTGTCTGTCGCCTCGAGATATAATCTCACCGCCTCTTCGCCGAAACCAAGCGTATACAATTGGTCTATATTAAACCGCATTACGTATACAGTTTGGGTTATATACGTGGGTGTCGCGCGTGCACATGTACACACACACACACACACAGGCACGCTGCATCGAGGGATGCACTCTTCTCCCCCTCCCTCCGTGCAACCTGTATATTGATTTCGAATATTCGATATCGCGTGCCGACACACCAATGTGCACACGAGCCCGTCGAGGACGATGCATCTTCATCCGCGATGGATAGACCCATACGCGGAACGATTCCGTCGCGGTTGTTTTCGTTCATTCGCATGTAGGAGAAGGGAGGGAGGGGATTTCCGGTCGTTAAACCACCGCCACCTCGATGATTTCCTTGGACGATTTTTCCTCAGCCAAGCGAGTTCGATATAACGTATTGTAATAAATGTATCGATCGCCACGTCGTCGATACGTTTGTGGCGGGTGTTGAAATTAATTGGAGTCCAGGTGATGAAATCGCGAGCAAAGTTTTACTTAAACAGAGACGAGAATCGACACGTTTTGTCGTTTCGAATATCGAAACGATACACGCTCGTTGAAAATTTCTCGAAGAGAAGTGATTTTAAAATAATTTTTCTCTCATAATTTATTAACGAAGTTGAAGTATTTTTAGTGAATTTTTGGTTTATAAACAAATTCTTTTTTTCGAAGGAGAGAGAGAGAGAGAGAAAAAAAATCGAATATTTGTGAATTTTGGAAGGAAATCTTGTCGCAGAATTAAATATAATTTTGATTTTTCTCCTGTAAAAAATATATTGGGGCGGAAATATAGGCTCTAAGATCAAAAGTGATTCGAAGAAATATTGTTTCGTTCTATAGTTTTGCAAGATAGCGGTGATGCACCATCAGTAGTAGAACTTAAAAAATTTCTTGAAATAAAAGATACTTTTCTTGAACAATGTCTCGGAAATGAGACAAGTAGAGAGTAAGTACAAAAGAAGATTCATATCAAAACACTCGACCGACTGTCTTGACTCGTCGCGTCGCTCTCTTATTACAGATATGTAGTAAGCAGACGTCTGGAAAACGAACCATTGTATGATGGCGATAAACGCGAATGTAATGTTTTAAACATTAGAAATTACAAACGGAGCTTTGACGTTTATACTTTTCTCGCGAATTTCATCATTGAATTATATTTTTCTTTATTAACACAAAGAAAGGAAATACGACCTCTGACCAGATAATTTTAATCTAAATTTTAAGACCTTAAACGTCTTATATAACATGTATTAATTAAATTACAATTTCAGCAATACATAGCATTATTATAATTACCACGTATTTGCATAGAATATTTATATGTCGTTAGATTATATGTCGTAGATTAAATTCAAGGAATCATCGAGTATCTTCTCGACCGCCGGCCAAGGATTTAATTCAACCATTTAACGCGAATCAAAACCGTTGCAAACTCGGGGAAACACGGTCGCACGGTCGATAAATTCGCGGCGTATAAATTCCGTTCTCGATAACATCCGTTGGGATAAAGCGGCGATACATAACGGATCGAGGAATTACATAACCGAACGATTCGATTATCAAACTCGTGAAAACAAACACTTACCTGCCGAGCAAATAATCGGAGCAATGACGTGAGCCTCGAGCTATTCGAGAGGCGGCCGCTCCTCCTTCCTTTCCCAACAACAGGAAACGGGGTAAAAGAGAGTGATAAGGAAATTTTGGAGGAGGGTCAACGATCGCGAGTTCAAAATCAACCGGATGATCGATGATCCCGATGAATCGACGCTCGTCGATCATGATTCCGCGAATACTTATTCGGTTGGACCAATATTGGAGGAGGGGGCGAAGATCTGGGATGGAGATTCCTCTCTTCCTTCGCTCATTCGAACTATATCGCAGGAAAAATCGGTTCCCTCCTCCCCCGATTTAAGCATGCTATTATCCGCTGGCCAGAGAATCTCCTACGTTACGGATTCCGTGTCGTGATGGCCGTATCGATCTGTTCTCCCCCACACGAAAGTTTCGGCTGCAATCTTCCGCGAAAAGACACGGATAACTTTTGCCAGTCTGTTGTGAAAGTTGCCGCGCTTATTCTCGTATAATATATATATATATATATAAAATCGACGCTTAACGGTTTCGTTAAAAAAAAAAAAAGAAAAGAAAAGAAAAAAGATCAGCCTGTTTCGGATAATTTACGAGTTTCGAGAGTTAAGTTCATTAGGGGATGTGGAGGGGATGTGGTGGGTTAATTCGGTTTGCATGTTGGTTAACTGGATGGAAGATTGAAAGTAGGGTGAAGTTATATACGATGAAGTTCGTGTGATCTGACGGTTTGATGGATGATTTTACGAAGATCGAGAGTGTCGCACAAAGTTTCCAAAACGATCGTTGATTACGTGAATAATAGATAGGAGATAGGAGTTGTGGTACAGTTCAGATGGAATATGATAGCGTTAAATTCTTCGAATATCCATCGAATAACTTTCGAAAGGATGGGAATGTAATTTTTTTCTTCTTCTTCTTCTTCTTCTTCTTTTTTTTTTCTCTCCCCGTCGAAGAATCCGATATTACTTTTTTCATTAAAGCGAATTCTCTTCATCGGCGTGTCGTCGATGGAAGAAGGAGGTGGGGCGGAGCGGGAGGGAAGGGTGTAAAAATTTCGGGACGGCGAAATCTGCGTCTGAGAGGGCGGGGATATTTTTAATAACGAGAGAAACATCGAAGCAAAATTTAGGCTAGCTGCCGGGAATGGATACATCCGGGTCATATAGAAGCTTTTACAAGTCTATGAAACTCGATATTGGCACTTGTAGGTCTCGCGGAGGACCTTGGAGATTGCGATTTTGGATATCCGTGTCCGACGGACAAACGTTCCTCTATTGCGCCTCGATCGACCACCTCTTTCCGACTTTCAATTGGGAACACGAGCTATTCGTGTTGCGCTAGATTTTCAAACGTGCACTCATATCTTTTTTCGCGTTTTTCCAGCGATACGTAACGAAGAACGGGACTGTTAACGGGACGGTAATAACCCGCGTAATAAAGAATTGTGCGCGCGTCATTGCGTAGGCGTCATTGTGTTATTCTTATGTGTAATGAAACGCGCGTTAAATATGTTATTTAGCGGATTAATGCGATTGTACAAATTTAACCGGTAACTATTATTAAATCTGTATTAATCTAGCTGCGAATTGTCAATTTTCGTCGATCTATTCTAATGAGTTGACGACAGAGGAGCGTTAGGACGGAAGGAGGACGTTGTCGTGGAAGATGGCATCCATCAGCGTAAACGTCAACACGTTCCGCGACGTGATTCGACCATCCACCATGAGAC